TTTTAGTGTAATCTTGATGATAATAAAACTACCGAAATATCAAATGAAAATCAGTTATCTGTGGTAAATTTATTCCTTTTCTTTCTGTTTTAGAAATATTTTTTATATTTTTTTAAAATTTAGCCAAAAGAAGATTTATCTCGAAATCCACCTCAACAAAGTTTATCCAATACTCCTAATACATCAATAGCAGGTGTTGAACCAACTAAAGAAGGTTAATTGAGAAATATTTTATTCATTAGTAGTTAATATTGCCTTTTTAAGGTTATCTATTCAAACGTTCGCATAATAAATTCAAAACATGGAGCAGGTTTGTTATTGAAATTTATTAAAATTGAACATGAGATTTGACAGATGTGCATAATAAACAGGACAAAATGTTCTCTACTGTTTAGTACACTTCTTAACACACTGAAAACACTGTTCAAGGCTTATTTGATAGAGAATTTTCTGTTCTATTAAATCACGTATTTTATTCAAAAAGTATATTTCATTTTTTTTTGTGAGGTGCCGGCAATTCGAAAGTCGAACAAATTTAGTTTTAAGTGTTCAGTATATTATTCGATGCACATTATTGTGCGAATTCTGAATCTGATATTCGTTTCTTTTGGAAACTCAAGTTCTGATCCTGAAAATCTCGGACTACGAGCCCGTTTTTATGATTTCTTTTTGCTGTCATATTGAAAAAATCAATTTTCTCAATAATCAGATAATATGCATAAATGCTTTTCCTGATTATATGACGAGTGAAATCGACAAAAAAAAACAATTCGGATAAATGTTGAGACTATCGAGACTTGATGCGTTTGCTGTATTGCAATTCTTATAGGCTTTTCTGAACATTTTTAGAGCTAATTTTCCTAAGTTTCACTACAAAAACATTGTCTGCATATGTGACTCCGATCTCATATTGCAATTAACTGACATTTATCTGAATTCCAAAAAAGGATAAAATAGAGATCTCTTAAAGATTACTTCAAAAAATTGTTGATCTTTTGAAGATACAGGGTAATCTAAAAAAAATTTACTCTTATAAGATATAATTTCTAGGCTCATAACATTAATTTTTTGAATCAATTTCTTTTGCAATATCGATTTACCCAAGGTTGATATTCCTAGCTTGTTCCATTCGAGAGTTATAAGCTTTTTCCGAGATCACCCAATTGACCTGTGATCATCTGGCAGAGCAGCTAAGCGAGGTGAATTCACCATACTGAGTCGAGCGGTTATAGTTATTTTTTAGTTCGAAATAATCTGACCCTGTTATGTCAATATTTCTGAAATTTCATAATCAGCCTTCATCTTATAAAGATGTTAACAATTCGAAAATATTGAGATAACAGAGTAAGATTATTTCGAACTAAAAAATAACTATAACCGTTCGACTCAGTATGGTGAATTCGCCTCGCTTAGCCGCTCTTCCAGATGATTACAGGCCAATTGGCTTAAATCAGAGATCTCAGGAAAAGTCTTCATTCAGAATTCACTTGATCGATCAATTACTGACCAATCAAATTTTGATATATTGCGATGGTTCCGGATCTTCTCTCTGAAATGGTGAAAATCGTAGATCTCTCTGATGTTCCTGTCAAAAATTATTCAAAAACTAGTGGAGTGTATTATATTTTGAAATAAATAGTAAAATATATGAAAAGAGAAGTATCAATAAACTTGAATCAACTGTTTCATTCATTAACACTTTTCAGGTGTTTAGAAACTGTATGTATTTCTTAGAAAAATTTTACTTTTGGGAAAGATGTACCTTTCCTATCGTGAGCACTTCCGAAAAGTTCGAAGAATGTCCATAATAGGAAGATTTTATTGTACTCATTTTTACTTCTTGGAAGACTATTCAGTTTCATTAATAAACTTCATTTTAGACGTTGGTTTTTAATTCGAAACGGTCAACTACTTTATATGAAACGTAATAATGGAAATTCAACAAATGATAATTCCCAACAACAATCAGTAATGGTACCTGATTTACGTTTATGTACGATTCGTTCAATTAATGATATTGATCGTCGATTTGTTTTTGAAATACTTTCACCAAATAGGTAAAAAACATTTTTATTATTATTTTTTTATTGAAAACCTTTCATTCTAGTTCCCATTTACTTCAAGCTGATTCTCAAGTTCAATGTGATCAATGGATTAATTCCTTACAATTAGCGATAAAAAATTCATTTAAATCATCAAATGATAATGTTCAAAATTCAGCTTCAGTTTGTTCTTTTGTTTTTAAATTGATAATATTAAGGAAAATATGTTTATTTTCTTTTAGTCTTCACCAAAACCAAAATCAAAAGATGATTCTTCATCAAACACAGCTTTAATAGAAAAAATTGAATTCAAACAAAAAATGTATATAAAAAATTTTTCTTTGTTTAGTTTTTAGTTATGAATTATATTTAGGATTAAAGATAAAATTGAATATGTACGTTCTCTTCCGGGTAATGAAAAATGTTGTGATTGTAATGCTGATGGACCAGAATGGGCATCGATTAATTTGGGAATTTTACTTTGTTTAAATTGTGGTGGTGCTCATCGGTTAGTTAAATTCTATTTGTAAGATATTGTATTATTTTTCTTTGTCATCTTTATATAATCAGAGGTCTCGGTGTCAATCTTTCAAAAGTTCGTTCACTTCATATGGATACATGGGATTTAGAAACATTACTTGTTATGTCTGAATTGGGTAATTCACTTGTTAATGAAATTTATGAAGCACGTATATCAGATGGAATGCAAAAACCTAATGCTGAAACTGATGCGTAAGTGTCAAAGAGAACTAGAATATTTAGATTTTTTTCTATGAACATATGACTTTTGCAAGAAAAGATTATGTACTTTATGTCATCTCAATTCAAAAGGCAAGATCATATATCATATTTTTTGTGGTATGATTATTACAAGAGAAACAAAGAAATGAGGATTTTTCATTTGTACTTATTGTAGAGATTTGTACCTCCCGTACGTACCTCTCCGGTAATATGTCTACTGGGCGATCTCGCTTTAATCATATCAGCTGTTACTATATACTTCAATACTGTTTTTAAATGGTGTTTTATAAAAGAATGTACATTAAACGTTGAAAAGCTAAGAGAAAGAGTTTAATCGCTGATAGATTCATTACAATGAGATTCTATTAGATTTATTATCTCATTTTGATACTCATTTGTTAAATTTATTAATTAAATCGTAATTAATATTGATCAAAAATTATCTTGATAAAAGATCAAGTTAACTCGAAACTTGGTGAATTTCATTGTGATGAGTATAATTTTTAAATTTGCCTTCAATTTAAACTTCGCAAATTGAACAACAAAATAAATTAAAATGGACATAAACAACCTATCATATGTATATATATGCTAGTTATATCTTGCCTATAGCACAGCAAATATGAAAAAAAAAGTTTACGATTATCATTAGGCGTGATGCACATCTATGATACAATGAAAAAAAATTTCACGTGACCTAGAATACTTGTTTATTTTAATAGAATATGGGATTTCATGAGTGTTCAACTTTTCTGATAGAACATTTGTCAATCTGTAATTTCTATAAAATATTTTTGTATTTGGAAATATCAATATTTATTATCTTATCTTGACTAATTACAAATGAAAACTTTTTTCTAGTGTTACACGTCGAGCATTTATTGAAGCAAAATATGTTCAAAAAGCCTTTTTACGTCCATTACCAGCAGCTAGTGAAATGCGTTCGTTTACTCGTTCTCTGAAACAATTGCCTATCATGAAAAGTTCAATATCTAATAATAATGATAATGATAAATCAAAACCACTTCATCGTCTATTCTTACCAAAGTTTGTATTTTATTTTCTTATATGTTTTTATTTACTTTATTCTCATATCGTCTAGAAAAACAACAGCATCATCTGATCATGATACAGTTAATCAAGATAATCAACCATCAATATGGAATATGAATATATATTTATATGAAGGAGGTCGTCAACATAATGTTATAATAATGCTTCATGCCTTAGCGTTGGGTGCAGATAAGAATTTTATGAATGAAAATGATCATGGACGAACACCATTAATACAAACAATATTAAGTGTATGTTATATTGACTATTGATATTAAATGAAAATTACTTTTTTTTCTTTTGTTTATTTTTGTATGGCTTTTTTCTAGAGATCAGTTGGAGCTGCTGAATTTCTTTTAACAAATAATGCAAAAGTTAATTTAGCTGATCAAGATGGAAAAACACCACTCCATTATGCAACACAATTAGCAACTAAAGGCCGAGGGTATATATATATATATATATATGATAAATATTTGATATCTTGAATTTTAATAATTGAATTTCTAGACCAATTATTCTTTTAATTAAACGTGGTGCTGATCCGTTATTAAAAGATAAAGATGGTATTGATGCATGTTCACTATCAATGAATATAGGTGATCCAGATGTTATAACATGGTATCGTTTAGTTGCCTTACATGAACAAATGAAAGAAGAAGATGCTGATGCTGAAAAAGCTTATATATCAATACTTGATGATTCTGTTTATATGAAAGAAATAGCGAGGACACCTTCATTTTCATAATTACTATAATAAGAAAAATACCTGTGATATTTCTTGAGTTAATTAGTTTGTGTATTTGTATGTATATTTGTTTTTCTTATATTCTAACATGAACTATCACATAAAAACCTTTTATCTAGTCTCTCTTGTTTCATCTATATAGAGAATATATATATATAAAGCAAGGAGTTTTGTTTTTTTGCTGTATCTTTTTTATCTTAAATAAAATTTCTCCTATGATACCATTGAATATTGTAAACATCAGTAAAAGAAAACATTGGTTACTTCGATGCACTTATTGGATGTCTACTGTCGTTTTTTTTATTATTGAATAATGCAACTATTTTTTTGCTACTTGTAAATGTGATTTTATGGTGAACAAAAACAGCATTTGATTGAATTTTTTTTAAGCGTTAAGAATACGCATTTCTTTCGAGATGACGAGTTTAGTATTATTTAAATCGGATCGTTCTAAGAAGATAGATCGTACGAAATCTGCTATTGATTGGGGCACAGGAAAACCGCGTAATCAAGCCAACAAATCGCGACCTTCTTCTGTATCTGGTACTTTTCTTTACACGTAAGATATATATTGAATCGTTAAAGAAATTTTGGTTTTAATTAATTATTATAGAGGTGAACCAATTTCACAAACATACCAGAATACAGATACAACATTAAGTAATGTACGAATAAATGACGAATTGTAAGTTGATTATTTACTCATAATATGATTTAGTTATGAAATTTTAAGATAAAAGTCGTGTATTATAATAAATATTTGTCATCATCTTGATTATAGCGTACATGTGGAAAAACTTTTTGATTGACGAAGGATAGAAAAAAAAAATATTTCTTGAGCATTATCATAATGAAATTTTGACATGCTAAACTAAGAGAAATTCAGCTCACGAAGCGATCTTCTATCAGTTTCTGAAAACGTTACGCAAATTTATTTACGTTTCCTCATGTTTCTTTAGTAAAGTATTCTAAGAAACCTCTTGAAAAATATTGCTTGCACTTAGATGAACCATAATTACTCATTCAAATACTTTTTGTTAATCTGAGTATTGTTGATTTAATTACAGTATAACTATTTAGAGTACCTGCGCCACTTCATACAACTGATATCACGTCTCATGAAATACCATTAGAATTTCCATCAAATCATCCATTTACATCACATATAAGCGAAAAATCTATATTTCCGACAGCAAGCATTGATTTAAATGATCGTCCTTCAACATGTACCGATCCTTATATAGTAACACATAAAATTCGAGGTAAATAAAAAAATAATGAATAAAAAATGCCAAGTGTGCAGTTCTTTTTCTCTTTAACAAAATAATTGGAAACACGATCAAGTCGTCTTTCTTCTCTCTCTCTCTCTCTCTCTCCGTCTCGCGCTCTACTTTTTTATTTGCTTTGGTCGTTGATTAGAAAAAAAATTGCTATTATTCTAACTACGACACAATCGTTTGCTTGTGTTAGTTTTTGTTATTGTTACTGTTGTGCAGCACACCTTGTCAATGTTTGTCTTTAAATAGGTAATCCATTTCGTCGTGAAGTGCATTACTACGGATTGCAGCAAGAACGCTATCGAACTGCGAAATGGCCAGATAAACATTATATGCAAGTAATATCTTCAAATAATTTTGTTTTTTTTGTAAATTCTTTTAACACTCTTAGTTACCACGATCATTAAGTAACATCGAATCGTTACCAATTTACCCTTGGCCACGTAAAATGTTTGTACCAAATAATAAGAATTCAATCCAAAGTTCAACAACTAACACAGTTAAACATAAAGAAAAAAAATCACTTGAAGGCACTTATCAAAATTATTATTCAAATGAAGAAGGATTAAGTTCTCATGCTATAAACAATACAACAACAACAACAACAATACTTTCACCAAATGAACAACTAGTTGGTTATTTTTTTTTTAGAAGAAAAGAAAAAAAGAAAATTGTTTTTTTTTAATTCATTCAATATATAGAAACCTCATTTAAACAAGACATTCGAATTGGCAAGACCAATGGAAGGTACGCAAGCTATTTATAGTAATGAGAATCATCGGCAACCAAATGCTCTTGAACGACAACAACCACCAATGTACTATGCACCAATGGAAACAATCAAGTAAGTATATGAAAAAGTTCAACATTTTTGTTTGTTGTTTATTGTTTAGAATAATGAGTGAAAATGAAAAACTTGATGATCATATGCGAAATGGAACGAACTATGTGAATCTTCCTGAACATCTTTATTCAACTGATCAAGCACCAACCTGGATTCGTAAGTAAAATTTTCTTTTTTTTTGTTTGATTTTCATCATTTTTTTATTTGCAGCTCAACAGGAAACGTTAAATGATAATCAAGTTAAACCTTGCGAAATTCGTTTTCTTCATTCTCTTCGACCATCAACAACGGGTAATCAATTAGCTCGTGATCATTATGCAAGTCATCAACAAATGGATGCAGAAAATCGTCTTCAACAATTAGAAGTTATCCGTCCAACAGAAAATATTAATTTATTTAATGTTAAACTTCGAACTCTTCAACATTCACGACATGCTCGACCTATATTACCTCAATATCGTGATGATTATGTCAATAAATTATATGATCAAATGGGTACATATGTTCAAGAACGATCAGGTCTTTATCATACTCAAAATTATGAACCGAATTCACTTGTTCAAGCTATACCAGAACTTGAAAATGACCGAGGATATAAAACAACAGTAAACAATGAATATGATGTCAATGATGTATTGAATACAGGTGAACAAACTCAACAAAGAGCTAAACCAATATTGTTTCAATGTAGAGCAATCGGTGATTATCAAAATATGCGGGTTAGTTTATTTATCTATTCCACTGATACAAAGAAGAAAAACAAGAGAATATTCATTTAATTGAGTTAGTTTTTGACAATGAGCACTTAAAAATGTAGTTTCATAGCGTTAAACTAAAAATCACTTAAGTATCTCGTCCGGCTTTGTTCGGAGAACATTGACAGAACTTAAAAATTATTCTCATATTCGAACTTTATGTATACTGTGCATACTTGATTTACGCATATTACATTATGCAGGAGAATTATTCAAATAAATTCAATATTCTAAAACAAACATTCAGAATAGTGTAATATAAAAGAAAAAAAATTTTTTTTCTTATTGATTCTTGCGACTCTATTAAAATTTGAGATGTTTCGATGAGATTAAAATCAAATGAATATGTCATGTAATTGGTATAACAAAACAAAACAAAACAAATTTCAAAATATTTTTTATTCTTATTTATTCAGAATCGTCTTCTCAACAAATTACATGCTCCAAATGATGCTGCTACTGTTAATACTCGTACACAAGAAGGTAATAAACAATTTGTTCAACGTGAATCAATCTATGGTCAAGCATATAATACTAAAAAATTTCTTCAAGAAAATGCTCTATTACCTCATGCACGTACTGATCCAACTCGTTTAATGAGTACAACATATAATACTAATCTTGAACAAGTACGCAGTTTAAATAGTTATCCAATAAAAACGATTCAAAATCAATCAGTTAATAATAATAATAATAATAATCAAGAAAAAACTAATGATATTCTTGTTAGTCCAGTTCTTCGTCCATCACATTATGATGAATTATATAAGACTAAATATATTAATGAACATACAGATGGTTATTCACGACGATCAACAGCTCGTGTTTATGATTCACCATTTAAAAATGAACAAAATACAGCAATGAATAATTTATGTCAACAACAAACAAAGTCTTTGGAACCATATCTTTCAATTCCTGGTCAACTTCCACGTTCAGTTAAAATAAATTTACGTTTACCCGGTCCAGAAGTTGTTGCTCGATTTATTGAACCAAAAACTGATACACATACAACATATCAACGTTCATTTAAAGATATATCTTATCATGAAACAATACCTCAAACACAACGTTCAACGAAAACTAATAATCAAAATTTAATTCGTACATCAGAGAATCGTCTTAAAGAATTGAAATTACTCGATCTTCAAGATCAATGGTCAAAAACTCAAGCACAACAACAATATCATATTGAACATCCAGAAACTGTACCTTATGTTGGTGATTGTACGATTCGAGCTAAAAAAGAAATACTTATAGCTGATACAATTGCTAAACGAGGAATAACGACTGTTAGATGAAATTTTTTTTTTTAAATTTTTAATGAACTCAAACTTTCTTTGAATAAATTGAAATACTATACAACAGTTCAGCATGGTCAGCCATCGATCATTCATACATGGGGAGAGTTCAAACTTAAAAATGAACAAAGCTAAGTCTACACCATTGAAAAGGAAGTATTTCTATTCCTGAGCAGCATTGAATGCCCTGGATACACGAAATCTTTCTTAGAGCGAACTTTTTGTAAAATATAGTAATGAAATACATCGTCAAACAAGGATCGATCAGATACGAAGTACTCATTCAACTTATGACCTTCGTACAAATGGTAGATGTCTACCAACCAATATAATAGCACATTTAAAAATCATCTCTATTTTTCGATAAAATGCTATAGCAAACTCGATTATAATGGATTTTGCTCACTTCTGTTACTAATTTTCGCAATAAAAAACGACATCTGTTGTTAGAATTCACCATGTTTCATCGAACACATCCATATAGAGCATAGTTTTATTTAATATTTACATCTATTTTCTAGAAAAACTGTGCTATGGCATTTCCTTAGTATCTGACTTTTGCAGGAAGCATTTTGCACTGCGTCTATTCATAAGTATGCACAAATTTGGAACAAAATGGAGTATATTTGGTTAATTGAAACTTCAACGTTTATTTTTCTCGGGTCGAAAAAGTTGAAAAATTGTTTTCGTTAAAGTCTAATGAAAAATACGGCATTTGATGAAGACTTTGATGCTGGTGACAAATATCTGGTTGCTTTTGACTTTTTTACTTTCATCCTGACCCAAACTACCGTTTTTCGAAAAAACGATAAAAATCCATAATAAACATTATTTGTAGTTTGTTATTCGATGCAATTATGCTTGTCAAAAACTGAACAACTTTTATATAGAAAGTTTATTTGTATATTGCTTTGTTTCGTAGTACAATACTAAACTCTTAACCTTGCTAAAACAAAATTCCATTTTTTGAAATTCGATAACGATCGGTGTTTTTTTGAATAGCTCAGCTGGAGCTGAAGGAAAATTAGTGAAATTAATACTGATAGTTTCTATCTATAATAAAATTTTCAAAGAATTTGCTTGTTTACATTGACGAGAAATAGATATTATACATAATGTACAAAAAATGAAACTTCATAACGTTTAGTCACGTCGAGTTACTAAAGAAGAATGTCAAAAGATAACGTTAAGAAAGTCCTTGTTATTTTTGTCGTTTTGGCGTGAACTGTGTTATTCTAGTATGAGTGATTGGTAGAACTGCGTTATGATTTCCTTTTGATATAAATTTTATTAATTCTATAAATTCTTTTCGAAATAATTTTGATGTTAAACAATGAATATAAAAGTTGATCTAAATAAAAATTCTTTATATTTAAATGTTTATCCGAACAAAAACAAAAACAATCTTACTGCATAATTAAAACTCCAAAAACATGTTAAACCTGCTGATATACTCATAACCGATCCATATTCTTCTACTTTCATAGTTAAAACTTGTTTTGGAAATATAATACGAAAGGTAGCTATTGGAAGAGTTGTTGTTAAAAATATAATAATACTTGAAAGCATTAATAAAAATAATTCTTTTTGAAAAAATCTATTACGATTTATTGTTTGATTTTGAAATTGTATTTGTTGACTAAGAGCTCGCTTTCGTACACGTATATTAATAAACATATCAAGAAGAACAAGTAACATTAGTAAACCAGGAATGAGACAATTAATAAATATCTATTAATATAACAAACAAAATTTTCTTCAAAAAATATTCAGAAAAATTATTCTCACTTGTATGATTGTCCATGTATAATAATAGAAATTTAGATACAATTTTTGTTTTACATTTGGACCACAAGCTATAATTGCTACACCAGGTAATAACATTCCAAAGAATGGCGTTAACATAGGTGAATGAATAATTGCATCAACAAATATTACAATTACCACAGCAATTAAAGCTTTCTTTGGAGTACAAAGTCTCGCTGATTTATGTGGAAATCGGGTACGAATCCAACGATCAATTGAAATAATAACAAGTATCCATGCTGAACAAATTTGAGTCATCGAAATAACAAATACACGATAACTACATAAAATATCATAATTAATACGTCCATAAAGAGGTACCTATTAATCAGGAAAAACAAATATCTATCTGTACTAATATAACAAAATAAGTGTCATACCTGTAAACCAAAATCAATAAAATCAAAAATAGACGCAAACAAAAATAGTGTATCTGAGATGGCTAAGACAATAAAAAGAGTACCAGTCGAAACACGTCTTAATGTAGGTCGGATAAAAGTCAAGAGACTAGCAATATTACCAGTAAAACCAAGAATAAATATAATCAAATAGCCCCATAAATAAAAATAAGCAACAATAGGTGGACTACGAATCAAAAGGTAGTAATCTATGGCACGGCTTTGTTCGAGCATAGAAGATATGTTACTCATATTAGTCATCTTAGTTTTCTTACAAAATAAATGCAAACTTTGAAGTAGTGTAAAAATATATAGTTATTTATATATTTTTCTCTGCTATGAAGAAGAAAAATATTTTTTTTCTTCTTTTTTTGATTAAATTTGTCTGTAGGGTTCCTCTGCAATATGTCTAAAAAATTAAACGAGGTATCCTCAGTCATAATATCGATGTCATCTAGGAACTATGAATGTATTTTTAACATCTTTATCTGCGAAATAATTATATTGAATATATATATAAATAATTATGACAAATATCGATCAAAGTCCCTTTTTACGTTTTGAGATATCACTTTGAAAAGAATTATATATATCGGTTCGATACTTTTTTTCCTATTTCAAATAAAAACCTCTTCGGTTCGATGTAAAATGTCAATAATTCAAAGTTTGAGCAGAATTTTTTTCTGCAATATTTTCACATAGCTACATGGATCGTATTGAACTCTACACGACTATGTATAATGAAAACTTTTCGTACCTTTTCTTTGAAATAAAATGGACTGAAATCTATTGAAATTAAAAGGGGAGAGTGTCATATTTCTTCAAATGCAACAGTGTGTTCAAATTTTTACATAAAGTAAACTTTTTCAACATGTTTCTTTTCTTCTAGAAGTTAGAACAAGTGAGTTTTAGGTTCTGTATTCAAAACGGCATGTGGAAACATGATGGATTTGAGACTGTTCAAATATAATCGAGTAAGAAACGCATTGAGTCAAGGAAATAACTCACTCAACAAACAACAGCACAATGAAAACCTCCCAAAAGTTTTAAGTCTCTCTGCATTCGATATTTTTTTTTTCGCTTTACTCATTGTGAAATCAAGAAAAATGTTATGAATCAGTTTTTGAAAAACACTTTACTGTTGTTGAGAAAACCCGTTTTCTGGGAGCGCTATTACAATATCCAAAAAATGAAATCCTATTTTCAGTTTTTCATCGTTGAAATTTGATTCTCGTGAAAAATAAACATCATATTCGAAATCACCGCCCAAAGAAACAGCGATATTCGTATATGCCATTATGACATATGCTGCTCATGGAAATATTTTACCTGAAAACAACCATGAGATAAAATGCGTGTAATAAAAAGCTCAACCAAGTAATGATAAAATTGTCATGAGAAGGATTTTTTTGTTGATGAAATACTTTCTTTATTGTTTCTTTAGATTAGGATGCTAAATACTATGTTTATCATAAAAATCAAATTTCAACGATGAAAAACGGAAAAAAAGACCTAGGTTCTAGGGTATCTTGCTAGTCATAAGAGAAAATGGGTTTTCTCAACAATAGTAAAGTGCTTTATGAAAAGAATCCTGATACTTAATGTTTTTTTTGGCTTCGCAATGAGTAAAGTGAAAAAATATTGAATTCAGAGAAACTTGAAGCTTTTGAGGAGTTCTCATTAAGTTTTTTGTTGAGTAAGCTATTTCCTTGATTTAATGCAATTCTTACTAGATTATATTTGAACAGTCTTAAATTCATATTTACACATTCATTTTTGTTACAGAGACTAAAACGATTACTTTTTTCCCACTTCTATAAAAAGAAAACGTGTTGAATAAGCTAGTTTTACTTTAAAACGTGAACATATTGTTATGTTTGGAGAAACACATCATCCTTCGTGTTGATCTCGATAGTTTTTAGTTAGTTTTATTTTAAAGAAAAGGTTTGCAAAGTTTTCATTATATATAGACTTGTAGAGTTCAACCATATATATTCAATCATTTGAAAATATTGCAAAAAAAAATTCTTCTCAAATTTTGAATAAATGGCGTTTTACATCGACAAAAATTTTAATCGAAACAATCTTTCTCAATAGATATCAGAGACTGACACGATAATGAGAAACTGTCCCATTGAGGTTTGCCAGGAGTTTCTCACAGACCATTTCTTGTCCGTATCGTCTCGCCTAGAAATTTTCAATTCCATCCCGTCCCGTATCCTGCCAAGAATTTTTCAGTTCCGTTTCGGTTAATCCTATGAACATCTTTTCGCCAGGAGAACATGGCGAATAGCTGCGGCTATCCACTTTGCTCGGCATGGAATCCGTGTACAAATACAAATTTAAAAAAATAGCTTTCAAGATTAACAATTATGACGAAATGAGACAAAATGAACAACTATTGCGTATACGTAACTATATACATACATTGCATTT